GCCAAGGCAGATGGATAACTTGAGGCCAGAAGTTCAAGACCAGCCTGGCCAACATGGTGAAACCCCATCTCTAATTGAAAAATAATACAAAAATTAGCCAGGTGTGATGGCACACACTTGTAATCCCAGCTACTCGGGAGGCTGAGGCACAAGAATCACTTGAATCTGGGAGGCAGAGGTTGCAGTGAGCTAAAATTGTGCCACTGCACTCCAGCCTGGGTGACAGAGTAAGACTCTGTCTAAAATATATATATATGTGTATGGAGGAAGATATATCATGTTAACATTAAAGAAAGCTGAAGCAGCTATATTAATTTCTAAAGAAAGCTGGAGTAGCTATATTAATTTGAGACACGGCAGACTTCAGATCATGTAAATTTGTCAGGGATAAAGAAGGATATTACATAATGATAAAGGGATAAATTCTGCAAGAAGACATAATATCCTTAACATGTATGCATCTAACAAGAGAATGTCAAACTACATGAGGCAAAAGCTGATAGAACTACAAAGAGAAACAGATGAACATACTACTATAGTTAGAGACATCAAAATTCCTCCATCTGAAACAGACAGATTCAGCAAGCAGAAAATCAGTAAGGACATAGCTGAACTCAACAACACCATCAATCAACTAGACATCACTTATATCTATAGATATTTCGTCCAACAGCTGAATACACATTTATCTCAAGCTAACATGGAACATTCACCAAGAAAGACCACACTTTGGGCCATAAAACACATGTTGACAAATTTAATATAATAAAAATCATACAATATTTGATCTCAGACCACAATGGAATTAAACTAGAAATCATAACAAAAAGGTAACTGGAAAACCCCCAAATACATGGAGACTAAACAACACATTCTTAAAAAACATATGGGTCAAAAAGGAAATGAAGATAAATTTAAATTACTTGAAACTAAATACAAACAGGAAGCACACCTTATCAAAATTTGTGGAATGCAGCAAAAGCAGTGCATAGAAGAAAATTTATGGACCAGGAGTGGTGCTCACACCTGTAATCCCAGCACTCTGGGAGGCCAAGGCGAGAGGATCACTCGAGTCCAGGAACACGCAACCAGCCTGGGCAACATAGTGAGACCCCCATCTCTACAAAAAATAAAAAAAGAATTAGCTGGGTGTTGTGTCATGTGCCTGCAGTCCAGCTAAGTGGGAGGCTGAGGCAGGAAGATCACTTGAGCCCAGGGAGTCGAAGCTGCAGTGGGCTGTGTTCATGCCACTGCAGTCCAGCCTGGGTAACAGAGCAAGACCCTGTCTCAAAAAAGAAGAAAAAATGGAAAGAAAAGAAAGAATGAAAAAAGAAAATTTATAGCACTGAACACATTTTTAAAAAGAAAGATTTAAAATAAACAATCTAAGCTTCCATCTTAGGACACCAGAAAGAGAAGAGCAAAAATAAGCAAAAGAAAAGAGATAATAAAAATTAGAGCAGAAATCAATGAAATTAAAACAAGAAAGCAATGGGGAAAATAATCAATAGAACCAAAAGCTGGTTTTTTGAAAAGACAACTGATAAGCTTCTAGCCAAGCTAACTAAGAACAAAAGAGAAAAGATACAAATGGCTAATATCAGAAACGAGAAGGACAACACTACGGATACCATGGACAAATAAAAGGGTAATAAGGGAATACTATTACCAACTCTATGTCCACAAATTTGGCAACCTTGGTGAAAATTTCTTGAAAAACAATTCCTTAAAATTGGCTGACACAATCAGCCAAAACTCACACAAGAAAAAACAGAAAATCTGAATAGGTCTATATCTATTGAAGAACTTGAGTCAATGGCCTTCCAAAACAAAAATCAAAGGCCCCAGTGGCGTCACTGGTGAACTCCACCAAACATTTAAGGAAGATATTTTACCAATTCTCTACAGTCTTTTTCAGAGGACAGGAGTGGAGTAAATACTTTCTAACTCATTCTATGAGGCCAGCATTACCTTAATACCAAAACCAGACAAAGACATTATAAGAAAACTACAAACCAGTATCTCATAAACATAGATGCAAAAATCCTCAATAAAATATCAGCAAAATGAATCCAATGTATAAAAAGAAAAACAGACCATAACCAGGTAGGACTCATCCCAAGTGTGAAAGACTCATTCAACATTTGAACACCAGTTAACGTCATCCATCACATCAACAGGCTAAAGAAGAAAAATCACATGATCATATCAATAGATGCACAGAAAGTATTTGACAAAATCTAACACCCATTCATGATTAAAAAAACTCTCAGTAAACTAGGAATAGAGGAGAACTTCTTCAATTTGATAAGGAATAGCCACAAACAACCTCTAGCTAACATCATACTTAATGGTGAGAAACTTAAAAAGCTTTCCCACTAAGATCAGAAACAAGGCAAGGATATCCTTTCTTACTACTTTTTCAACACTGTACTGAAAGTCCTAGTTAGTGCAGTAAGACAAGAAAAAAAAAAATAGATGGGGAAGAAAGAAGCGAAACTGTCTGTCTGTAGCTGACATGACTGCCTATGTAGGAAATTCAAAAGAATTGACAAACATACACACAGACTGGCATTAGTAAGTGATTATAGCAAGGTTGCAGGATACAAGGTTAATATACAAAAGTCAATTGCTTTCCTATGTAGTTTCTAAAATGATTAAAGTTTCTGAGTTACATCTTTTTGCAAATAAATTTTTTAAAGCAAAACAAAAAATTCCTTTAAAAAAACAAAATGTCTTAATTACCTATGTAATCTAAATAAATGTTTAAACAAAACCTGAGTCTCTCTTGGGTCTTCACTGCCAAAATAACAAAGAAAAGAAGGGAGGCTGGGCACGGTAACTCATGCCTATAATTCCAGAAGTTTGGGAAGCCAAGGCAGGTGGATCACTGGAGCCCAAGAGTTCAAGACTAGCTTGGGCAACATGGTGAAACTCCGTCTCTAAAAGAATACAAAAATTAGCTGGGTATGGTTGGTGTGTGTCTGTAGTCCCAGCTACTCGGGAGGCCGAAGTGGAAGGATCACCTGGGCCCAGATAGTTTGAGGCTGCAGTAAGCCATGATCATGCCGCTGCACTGCAGCCTGAGTGACAAAGTGAACTCGTTTCAAAAAAAAAAAAAAAAAAAGGAGGAGGAGGAGGAGAAAGAAGAGAAGGAGGAAGAACAACAATGGTTGTGCCAAAAAGGGCCATAGCTAGGTGCAACCTATTTGCTGCACAAACTGTGTTGGATGCAAACCTAAGGACAAGACCATTAAGACGTTTGTCATTTGAAATATGGTAGAAGGTGCAGCTGTCAGGGACATTTCCAAATTGAGCGTTGTTGATGTCTCTGTGCTTCCCAAGGAGTGTGTGAAACTGTATTACTGCACAAGGTCTGCCACTCACAGCAAGGTAGTCAGGAATCATTCTCAAGAAGCCTAGGGGACCAAACAACTCCACTCCAATTTAGATCGGAGCATGCTGCCCCATGATCTCCATCAAAGCCCATGCATGGAGCTGAGTCTCTAAAGACTGAAAAAAAACTATCTTCTGGAAAAAAATCAAATGGAAATTAAGCTTTAAGAACAAAACTAAACCCCAAAATACCAAGGGCAACAAAAGGTTAAAGAAAAAGAAATTTTATTTTTGTGTTGCTTTTTTTTTTTCTTCTGAGACGGAGTCTTGCTCTGTCACCCAGGTTGGAGTGCAGTGGCACGATCTCGGCTCACTGCAAGCAACGCCTCCCGGGTTCACGTCATTCTCCTGCCTCAGCCTCCCAAGTAGCTGGGACTACAGGCACCTGCCACCACGGCCGGCTATTTTTTTTGTGTTTTTAGTAGAGACGGGGGGGTTTCACTGTGTTAGCCAGGATGGTCTCGATCTTCTGATCTTGTGATCCGCCCGCCTCGGCCTCCCAAAGTGCTGGGATTACAGGCGTGAGCCACCATGCCCGGCCTTGTGTTGCTTTTTGAAAAGAAATATTAAAAGTATGATTTTATTGGCTTAAATAGCCAATCTCTTCCTTAAATAGAAGAGAGAAAGAAATGAAAACAAGGGAAGACACAATGACAAAGGAGCAAGAAAATGGGGGGAAAAAACAGAAAAGAAAGACCAGAGAAGGGAAAGGCCTAAGGGCAGGTTCCATGAGGGAGAGATGTGAAAAGCAGAGACCAAAATGAACAAGATAGAGAAAGTAAACTAAGGGGGACAGTTAGACGGAAATGATAGGGATGGAAAGTTTGACACAAACAAAATTTCACACTGAAGCTTAGAAATGCACCCTGAAAAAAGGAGACATGCTGTGAAGGAATGATGTTACCAAATCATACAGAAACACAATGAGATGAGATCAAAGATCTCACAATGAGATCTTTCAGGATGTTGGTAAAATAAAAGGATTTCACGAAGTAGAAATGGCAGTATTTCCTTGTTTGTCCCTCGAGGAATTTGGCTGTAGATGGATGATACCTGTTCTTGATTTAGGGTTCACCAAGGATAATAAGATACAATTCTGAGTGAAAATACTGCCAGGGAGGCCTTTTTCATACAACCAGATTTATGTTGAGTCAGCAAGAAAAAGGAACATGTATCAAAAAACTACAAATATTATTTAGGGTCAATCTGTCTGAATTCAGTGTGTAGCATTCTAGTGATCATTTGCAAGGCTGCGGTCAGTTATAAAAAAGAGAATTCTGAGTATTTGCAGACTGAGATCAGGAAAATAATGTGTATAATATGTATCATCCATGTACACAAGGGTATGCAGGGATTGCATAATGGTATTATGACTACAGCAGTAATAATATATATTTCAAAATAACTAAGAGAATAAATTTCAAATGTCTCACCACAAAAAATGATATCTAAATGAGGTGAAGAATATGTTACTTAATCACTCCACATTGTTTATATATTTGAAAACATCACACTGTACCCCATATAGTACAATTATAACTTTCATTTAAAAATAATAATTTAAAAATTAATTTCTTTTTAAATACAGTTTACCGGATACTTACATCTCTGATGAAATACTCAAGTGTAGCATAGGCAATGGCAATTCCATCATGGGTGCTCGTCCCTCTTCCCAATTCATCCAAGATAACCAAGGACTGTGATGTTGCTTTTCTGATTATTTCTGCTGTGTCAGTCAGTTCTTCCATAAATGTACTCCGTCCTTTATATATATTGTCTGCGGCACCCATCCTACAAGCAAGAGGAAAACACCTTGATTTTCCTCTTAACTTTCTTATTAGGAAGCCAAACATTATTTTATGAACAATAAATATAAAAGATCACTAAGAATCTATATATTTTGAGCCAATAATAGCTCAAATTACATTAAACAAAAGAAAACATGTTGGATGTAAACAGTGTCTAACATCACATTGTACTTTGTAGGAATATTCTGGACAGAATTTGAGGTATTGCACAGAACTCCTAAAAAGTAGGGAAATGTTTGATCCTGCTTTTTTCTCACCAATAATTCCAAATCAAAGTTTTGGTATTCACAGGATAAAACAATGCTTCTCTGTGTTTCTGTGTTTAAAAATCCATGATACTGTACAAAGATCTTGTACAATTAAAGGATTTTTTCAGTGTTTCCTTAAGAAGATTCCATACTGATATTACAAATTAAAGTACTACATAAAAAGTAACTTATTTATATACAACTTTTTACTGGAACTAGAATTATAGATGTTTGATACCTTGCACAGCAGCTAATACAGCTTCCTGAAGTGGATTTATGAAACGGTTCCTACAGATGTCAAGAAATAGGCCCAAAAGATTTAAATTTCTTTTCTGTAAGACTTTTTAGAGCCTTTAGTATGGGACTACATATTGTGCATTTCTTTCTTTTTTTTTTTTTTTTTTGAGACAGGGTTTCACTCTCATTACCCAGGCTGGAGTGCAGTGGCATGCTCTCGGCTCACTACAACCTCTGCCTCCTGGGCTCAAGTGATCCTACAGCCTCAGCCTCCCAAGTAACTGGGACTACAGGCATGCGCCACCAAGCCTGGCTAATTTTTTTTTGTATTTTTAGTAGAGGTGGGGTTTCACCATTTTGGCTAGGCTGATCTTGTACTCCCAACCTCAAGTGATCTGCCTGCCTTGGCCTCCCTAAGTGCTAGGATTACAGGCATGAGCCACCGTGCCCAGCCAATGCATTTCTTAGAGAAGGATCTAGTACACAGCTTTTCTTTAACTGATTTAGCTATGGTCCCTGAAATGTCTTCCAGAGCACCTTGCAGCAACAATGTCTTCCAGAACACATTTGGGAAAACACCTATATAACGCAAAAGCAACTGAAAAAAACAAAAGGAATCATTAGGTAATACTCAGTGTCATGCAGTTAATTGCAAAACTTAGAATTCAGGTTTTTCACCCAGTAGCCAGCTCTGTGAATGCTGGTAACCACTTTCTCAGCAAAATCCCTTCATTGATTTAGTTTTGCTACAATAGTTCACAAAATAGGACACATACTTCACATCTGACCTACAGCACCATAATGTACTTTTCATTTCTTGAGAAATCCATGGTCAAACTGTACCTTAACCAGCTGTGTGGCTGAAGCCCTATAAGGACAAGGAAGATGGAATGTGATGTCCAGACATGGGCAGAGCCTTAGAACTGTTCCAGTAACCAGCAGCATTGAGAAATTGTATAATTTCTGAAATGCTGCCACCTTAGGAACATTCTGGCTACTTTTTCAAAGTTCAAATACTGGTATTTACCTCAATTTTCAATGTTTACTTTACCAATATTTCCTTTTCCCCTAACACAAAACAAGATGATGAAATTTTCATATCTCTGAAACCACTTAGAATGCTTCAGAATCACAACGGTTCACCCTGTCTACCACTGTTGCCTTTATTCTGGCAGGTTGTGAGCTGACAAAAAGAAATCTTTGGCTGATAACAGAACATTCTGATGAGGGAAATATTTTGGGGGGTCATTAATTTTTAGAAATCAGGAGTTTTAGAAATACACTAGCACTGGATACAGTTTTTTGTTTGTTTGTTTGAGACAGGATCTTGGTCTGTCACCCAGGCTGGAGTGCAGTGGTATGACAACAGCTCACTGAAGACTTGACCTCCCAGGCTCAAGCGAGTGCCCACCTCAGACTCCTGAATATCTGGGACCACCGGCGCATGCCACAACACTCAGCTAATTTTTAAATTTTTTGTAGAGTCAAGGTCTCACTATATTGTCTGGGCTGGTCTTAAACTCCTGGATTAAAATGATCCTCCCACCTCAGCCTCCCAAAGTGCTGAGATTACAGGCATAAGCCATCATGCCTGGGTGTTGTATACAGTTTTAATACAGTAGATTAAGTATTACACTTAAGTGCTTTCTAAAACAGTAAAGTAACAGAGTGGTCTTGTTAGAAACATCAAGAATTGTAAGATGTGCCTGGGCAGGCACATAAGATTAATAGGCAGATACACACACATATTATATAAAACGTTTAGTATATGACAAAGGTGAGATTTCAAATTAATGGGGAAAGGATGAACTACCAGTCAAGGAAAAAGATGCTAGCTAATTAGTTATTTCTGAAAAAACAAAGATGTGTCCCTATATAAGCCATATTCCAAAATAAATGTACATGGATTGAAAAGTTTAATGCAAAACTAGAAATCATAAACATACCAAGCTACATAGATGAAATTTAATCTCTGGACAGGTGAGTGGGTGGTTTTACATATACAGCATCAAAACACGTATTTAGTAAAAGACACATAAAAAAGTTAAAGGCAAACCACAAACTGAGAAAAAACTTACAGTAATTATAACAAACACTTAACATTCCCAAAATAAAGTCTGACAAAGCAGAACAAAATGGTGAACAGAAAAACAGGCAAAGGACATAAAGAGTCAATTCACAAAAGAAACAAACTTATGAAAATGCCCAAATATGTAAATTCAACAGGAAAATATTCATATTCAATATATATATAGTAATATGTATATGCTAAGTTAGCAGAGATTTAAAAGAACGTTATTATCTGCCATTATCAAGAGTGTTGGGGGGAAAGGGTATTTTTATGTGAGACTGAGACTTGTTACAATCTTCAAAAGACAATTTAGCAATGTCTATTAGAAGTCTTTCATGACCTATAAATTTCACTCTAGGAATTAACATTATGAAAACTATCAGAGATACATGAAGAAATACATGTACAAATCTGTTCTTGATGTTATTTAATGAAAAGTTGGAAAAAATCAAATATCCAATAATAAGAGAAAGAGTAAACAGTACTATGATGAAAAACTATGCAACCAATAAAACTAGTATGTTAGAATTTTTGGCATTGGAAAATGGTTATATTAATAACATAGTGAATGTTACAAATCAGGTCACCAGAAATTTTTTAACTTCAGTGGAGGGGTCTACTAGGAAAAGAGACCTATTGAGCTACTGGAAATTCATCCTTGCTATTATAATAACTCAAGTAATGTTCCAGGCAGATATATGAGTAGCATCCACATTAAATAAAAATTTGAGGACACATGAGGAAAAATGACAGTATGAAAGAGAAGACTGAGAAAACCAAAAGAACAAGTAACACAGAGGAAGTGGATAAAAATACAATTCACTGGTGATATGATTTGGTTCTGTGTCCCCAGCCAAATCTTGTCTTGTAGCTCCCATAATTCCTACATGTTGTGGGAGGGATGTGGTGGGAGATGACTGAATTATGGGGGTGGGTCTTTCCTGTGCTGTTCTCATGATAGTGAATGGGTCTCATGAAATCTGATGGTTTTAAAAACGTGAGTTTCCCTGCACAATCTCTCTCTTTGCCTGCTACCATCCACATAAGATGTGACTTGCTCCTCCTTGCCTTCTGCCATGATTGTGAGGCCTCCCTAGCCATGTGGAGCTGTAAGTCCAGTAAACCTCTTTCTTTTGTAAATTGCCCAGTCTTGGGTATGTCATTATCAGCAGTGTGAAAATGGACTAATACAGTAAATTGGTACCAGGAGTGGGGTGTTGCTGGAAAGATACTTGAAAAAGTGGAAGCAACTTTGGAACTGGGAAATAGGCAGAGGTTGGAAGAGTTTGGAGGGCTCAGAAGAAAGGAAAATGTGAGAAAGTCTGGAACTTCCTAGAGACATGTTGAATGACTTTGACAAAAATGCTGATAGTGATATGAACAGTAAGGTCCAGGCTGAGGTGGTCTCAGGTGGAAATGAGGAACTTGTTGGGAACTTGAGAAAAGGTGACTCTTGCTTTGCTTTAGCAAAGGAACTGGCAGCATTGCGCCCCACCCTAGAGATTTGTGGAACTTTGAACTTGAGAGAGATGATTTAGGCAGAGGATGATCTGGCAGAAGAAATTTCTAAGCAGAAAAGAATTCAAGAGGTGACTTGGGTGCTGTTAAAGGCATTCAGTTTTATAAGGGAAACAGAGCATAAATGTTTGGAAAATTTTAGCCTGACATTGTGATAGAAAAGAAAATCCCATTTTCTGAGGAGAAATTCAAGCCAGCTGCAGAAATTTATGCAGAAATTTGCATAAAAAAACAAGGAGCTGAATGTTAATCCCCAAGACAATGGGGAAAATGTCTCCAGGAATGTCAGAGGTCTTCATGGCAGCCCCTCCCATCACACCCTGGGAGGCCAAGGAGGAAAAAGTGGTTTCATGGGCAGGGCCTGTGGCCCCTCGCTATGTGCAGTCTAGGGACTTGGTGCTCTGCATCCCCAGCAGCTCTAGTCATGGCTAAAAGGGGACAAGGTACAGCTCAGGTTGTGGCTTCAGAGGGTGCAAGCCCCAAGCCTTGGCAGCTTCCATGTGGTATTGAGCCTGCAGGTACACAGAAGTCAAGAAAAAGGTTTGGGAACCTCTGCTTAGATTTCAGAGATACATGGAAATGCCTGGACGTCCAGGCAGAAGTTTGCTACAGGGTAGGGCTCTCATGGAGAACCTCTGCAAGGGCAGTACAGAAGGGAAATGTGGGGTCAAAGCCCCCACACAGAGTCCATACTGGGGCACCACCTAGTGGAGCTGTGAGAAGAGGGCCATAGTCCTCCAGACCCCAGAATGGTATATCTACCTAGAGCTTGCACCGTATGCCTGGAAATGCTGCAGACACTCAATGCCAGCCTGTGAAAGCAGCCGGGAGGTAGGCTGTACCATGCAAAGCACAGGGGAGGAGTTGCCCAAGATCATGGGAAGCAACCTCTTGCATCAGTGTAACCTG